AAAAAAAAAAAAAAAAGAGAGAGATATATATAAGGTAAATACTAGTTTTCGAATAAATTAGCAATATCAGGCGGCAATTATACCATTTAACATCATCTTCTGGAGTATAGTAATGAGGCGAATAGTAATGAGGCGAATTACATTAACTAGGAAAGATTTTGCTTTTACAACAAACTTTAGTGTGCATAATGTCTAATGGTTTACACAACACTCACATGAAGTTAGATTAATCCAAACATTCATTAGATGACCCAATTCTACGTGAGCGTATAGACACCATTACATACATAGGTTATGTACATCTAGCAAGCATTGTCCTAACTGGATAACAGACTGAATAAGCAATAAAAGGATCTATTTGTCTATGACTCGGAGAGTGTCACAAACGAAAGTGCTGTTGTCAATCACAGTAGACATATCTGTGTTAGAAACAAAATGTTTCTGAGCGGAGAACTTTTTAAGATTCCCAAATCAAAAAAATGAAAGGTAATGAGAAATTCGTTTAATGCTATTAAGCCATAATCCCAGTAATAACAATACCATCCTGCAAACTATGCAATATTTAGGACATAAAAAGGCTAAAATTTACCATCTTCACACATTGTTATTGAAAGTTCACCAAGTCACAGTACGGCGAAATAACATAACAAATGCATCAACTGTGGAGTAAGTTGTGTCAAGGAAAAAAAAAAGAAAAAAAAAATACAATTCTTAGCCATAAGATATTGAAAGTTGAATAAAAGAAAAAACAAAAACTTTCATATTACCTATATATTTCATGCCAACGGCCATCTTCCGCACATTTGTGAAATGATCCTACAAAGTCATTGAAGAACATGAATTAAGTACATACATAGCTTTGTAGACAAAGTAAAGAGATTGCAACGACAAAATCTGACATCAAATCTCCATTATAACAACGGTGACTATCAATACATAATACCTGGTATAGCTGATATAACTAGAGGACAGTCATGCTTCTATCTTAATTTTTATAGGGATGAGATGAAACACCAGAAGAATATTATCGTACAGGAAAAAGGCCCGTAAAAATGAACAGGGAACGTCCAACGTGAACAAAACAAAGGCAGGAAAATTTGGAGCATACAGTTTCATATAAGCCCTGATGATATGAAATTAAACCAAGGTTACAATTTTCCTTTCTCCATTTCTAACAGAAAGGAAAAACAAATAGAATAATATTGCATATTCGTGACGTGAATATGGCAACAGAAATTTTGAAAGAGACTTCACGTATTGTATGCACATAATAATCTTGTCAGCATTAACATATTTAGTAAGAGAAGTGAATGGACTGAAGATGACTCGTGTATAGACATTTGATATCAGCTAACCTTAATCTTTTGTGTTAACCAGAGCCCAACATCCAAAAGAAGCCGGTTCCCAGATGCGTCTTTCTCGTCAGCAGCATGCCAGCTACGAGCAACGTATTCCTGTCCAGCACCTTCAGCCAGCACAATCACCACATGTCCATTTTCTTTTAGCCTCTGTTCAATAAATTCAAACAGCCCACCTTGTGCATCCAAATAGAATGGGGACTCTGGTATTAAGCAGCAATCCTGCACAATTCACTGCAGTTTCATCATCTCAATACACTTGAAACTGGCCTATAGGTAAAATTTTCAATCACTAAGAAAAAAGTAGATAAATAAAGACAAACAGTGAATGCACCAGTTCAAATATTTAAGTATACATACATATATATGAACTGTAAACCTATATAATGTTCTGCAACCAAACCTGTCTACATGGTGTAAAATTAATTTAAATGACTGACGGGCCAAAAAGGAAAAGGAAAAAGGAAGAATCTGTGTCATAAAGAACAGCATGCAAAAGAATTTAATGTCACCTACCACATCCCGACTCGCCAATGTTGCATGCATTGCAATGAATCCTGCATAAGGTTTTAAGAGACTTCAGAGAACAGAGAAAGCAAACTAGAGACACGACTATGCAGAAGAACCATCAGGACTTCTGCACAATGCCCAATGCTTTTACCACTATATCTGCCCATAAGCTTCACAATTCCAATTCCATTTTCTACACTCTCAACCTCTACATGTGCAGCATTTATTGCTCTCTGAGCCTCCTCTACAGCAGTATCAAAGCCAAAGGATTTGTCTATCACCTATATAATCATGAAGGAAGCAGAAACAGAAGATTTGTGAAAATCGTTGAAAAATAATAATATGAACTAAAGAAATTATTATTTAGTTAATGTTGAAATACAAACGAGGACCTTCAAAAGCACGCATATACACACTTCAGAATATCAACTATTGTGACGAGTTCCATTATGTGCATACCCATGTTGGGACACCTAAGCTTAAAATGCAGCTGTTCGTAAGATACCCACAACAAGATTTCTAAAGCGGCTTAACTAATGTTCCTTCCGTTATGTCTCTTAACTAAACACAAAACACGGAGATATAGCCTAGTGCCCTTTCTACGCCACTGATCAGTGACAGATGTAAAATTCTTAAGATGAGGCCCTTTCCCCTTGTAGATTTCATTTAAGCTTTTCTTAACCAATCTCTCATAATAGATAACAGACATTGTAACAGATTAATTATCACATATAAAAGAACAACAAAACCAAGAAGTGGGTAACTTTGAAGTGAAGATAATATGGAACACCACTCAACAAGGAGAGAGAGATCTTACTGGTGGAACTTACAGCAATATCATTATCAATTGTCTTGGGAATACCAGCCACTGCCACTTTGAGCCCCCGTCTTTCGACTTCCTAAAATCATAAGTACCGATTCAAACAAGAGTAACTAAAACAAGATGGTTTAAGTTCTAATAACCACCTTTGAAATTGCAGCAGCACCCTTTTGAGTACCATCCCCTCCAATTATGTAAACCTGGTAATAAAGAAATTTAATAAAAAGCTCTCACAATCACTAAGATGACAGCACAAGAATACAATGACGTGCACCTGGTTTATTCCACGGTCCTGAATATTGTCGACTATCTTATTAGTATCATGACCTCCTCTTGAAGTTTGCAAGAAAGTTCCCCCACGCTTATGAATATCATTTACAAATTTTGGTGTCAACTGGATAGTATTCTTCGAATAGAACCCTCTATACCCTCCCTGTAAATTTTAATTTTCGTGACTAGATTATCAATTATAATGAATGTAGGTAACATATACGACAACCTGGATTAAAAAATAGAGACTTGCTCAAACCGTCATGCCCCACATAAAATATATACAATCTGCTTACTAGATTCTTATTATTGCTGAGTTCAAAGGAGAAAATCAAAGAGCTGCAACACCAACCTGAATTCCGAGGATTTCATCCACACCATACATATTACTCAAACCACAAACTATTTCACGTATCACGGTATTAATTCCAGGGCATAAACCCCCACATGTCACAATACATGCGCGTACTTCCTCTGGCTTAAAATACACCTATATCAGGAAAACAGAATCATAAACCCACATGTTCACAAAGAAAGTATATACATTCATTTTTATAGAACATATCAGTTATGTCAAAATGTTGTTCTCTAGAGGAACACAAATACCTTTTCACGGGGTCCTGCCCGCCGGAAATGTATTCCCCTCGGACTGTCCTTCTGAACAACAATCTTAAGACAAAATGCAGCATTTTAGTTAACTGAACCTCACTTACTACAAACGACGATAATGGCCACTGAAGTTTACCTTCTGTGCCACAACATCTTCGTGGCTAACAAATGTTCTCCTGGGACAGAACAACAAAACATAACTCATTCAGAACCATCTTATTGGTTCAGGAAAAGAAATGAAGAGGTAAACTAATGATAATCAGATATCCATAAATTACCAACCAATCAATTCTAATAAATACTTATTCTTGGAAAAGAGAAATATTGGCATACTTGACGATGGCATAAGCTTGAGATTTCTTCAACGGATTTGGGAATGACTGACACATTTGACCCAAAAAAAAGTAAAGAAAAAGCAATCATATTGCGCAATAACCTCCAGAATCCATAAACGAAGAACAGGAACATTGATGATATCTAAACAACAACAGTAATAACAACCGTAAACGCACAGGTAAATCAGGGAGGAAATTGGTTAGGTGGGGGACGTCTTCGAGGATGAAATCATCATTATGCTCCTCTATCGCAGTGACATCGCCGCCGGTGGAGGCTTGGGCTCTAATCGAACAGTTTCGGCGCAAAATCAGCTGCCTCGTTAGGGATAACCGGTTTCCGGCGGCGAAATTCGCGAAATGAAAGGAAGAAGAAGTTGGGGTGAGTTTCGTACCGAGTGAAGTAGGGACGACGGACTTTGTCGAAGGAGAGAGCGATTGACAGGCTGAGTTAAGAGCGATATCCATGGCAACGGAGATTTAATTGGAAGAGAAATAGTTTCAGGTGCGGCCGTGAGCTTGCCGGAACTGCACGAACCGTACGTGACTTGTTTACCTGAATCAAGTTGATTTTCAAAATAAAAATTAATTGAATAAAAAAATCACCACATTTTCAGAATTTTGCAATTCAACCAAACTTTTTTAGGTGGTGATTTTTTTTTTTTTTATTGTTTTTTTTAAAAGATTAACTTTATAGATTGAACTAGTTTGATTTTTAATAATAGTTAATTTGAAAAAAAAGTGTTATGATTAGGGGGTGATTGTTTATGGTTTGAATAGTAAAAAATCTAGAATTTTTTAATTATGGTTAAGTTTAAGAAAAAGTGGTATGGTTAGTTGTTAGTGGATATATTAAAATAGTATTTAAAATAAAATTGTTAAAATTGATTTGATGTAAAAGTAAGAGAAAATGATTGGAAGCGATAGTTAGTTAAAATTAGTTAAAATTATGTGAGTAGATGAATAGTGAATTAAAGTTGATGTGATATGTAATAATGATTTGTTGATGTTATTTAATTATATAATAATATTGGAGATAATGGGGTTGAGTTAAGTTGAGTTAAATTTGAGTTTGAGTAAAAAAAATTACTGTACAACTAATAAACAATGACCCCCTTAGTTTTTAGTGAATATATTAAAATAATATGTAAATAAAATAATTAAAGTTGTTTAGATGTAAAGTAGGAGAAAACTAATTTGAAGTGATAGTTGATTAAAATTATGTGAGTGGATGAATAGTGAATTAAAGTTGATATCATGTGTAATAATAATTAGTTGATATTATTTAGTTATATTGATAATATTAGAGATAGTAGAGTTAAGTTAAAATGTTTTAAAAGAATGCTAGATAATAATTGGTAATAACTAATAAGTGCACTAACCTTGTTTGTTTTATAAGATGAGGTTGGATTAAATTAAGTTTTTACAATTCACTAGCAAAATATTTTCAAGCATGTCAAGTAGATTAATTTATTATTTACTGTAATCTTATATTTTTTTATATTTTGTAAATTGTATTATAATTTTTAAAATTGGATATTAATAATTTAACATGTGTCGCCAACTTTAACATTGACCGACTATTTTACCAAGCTCATTTGATGTTGATTTGCATTTTCTTACATCTTATAAAATTTGTATACATACTTGTAATTTATAGGGATATTAGTATTAACTCGGTCAGCCGGATATAGACCCATAAAACCGGGTCAAACGAACCTTAAAAACCGAAATCAACATTGTCTAGGGCCGACCGGCTTAAGGGTTGACTGACTCGGGGGTCGACCGTCGACCGGCTTGAGGGTCGAGCGGCCCAAGGGTCGATCACTGACTCACGGGTCGAACGGTCCAAGGGTCGACCGTTGGCTCTTGGCTCGACCGAGCAAATTGGTCGAATATCAACCATTTGGTCCGATGGGTCGAGCGTTGACTAAGTTACGCCCGATCAACATATGCTCAGAGACTTATGGTCCCGAGGGGAAGTCCTTGCAGTTAAACACTATATAAATGGTTAATTCAACAGGAGGAATGTAACATTCAATACATACGATCAATGTTACATTCATTATTGAGATTTATTCTTTTAGACCGAGAATTGACTTGGGCATCGAAAGGTCGAAGCAATTTCAGCGCTTTTGCAGGTACCGGCGAACTCGTATGCTTGGGACCGAGCCGAACCAGCTAATCCATAATTCAAATCGGAGAGGACCCTTGAAGGACCGAAGCCAATCATCTCGGACCATATTAGTAATATATCTTTTTCATTACAAATCTCAAATTTGGCTTAAATTTAATTATTTTCATATAGGCATTTTTTTTTTTCCAATATGAAAATTGAAAGAATTTATGGATCAAGAGATAAGGATAGGAAAGGACAGATAAAACAAAGTTTTCTCACGATGAATGATAAATATAATATCATGAGATGGCATACAACACTGCAAAGAAGCCTGCAGTCTACACCCGATTGAGATTTTGTAATCGTGTAATAAAAAGATTAAATATATAAGCCAACTTTTACAATATAAGCCATTCTATAGAAGAAAATGATCAATCATATGTTCTATAACATCTGCACCATCCGAATGCACGTTATGGTCCTTAACCTGCAGGAGAGAGAGAGAGAGAGAGAGAGAGAGAGAGAGAGAGAGAGAGAGAGAGAGAGAATATTAGATATATAGCTAATGAAAGGTAGTATTCAAAGAACATGGTAAAGAAAGGTAGTATTGGATACATAGCTAATTGCCACTAATGAGCTCGACTCGGCTTGTATGATAAACGAATCGAGCTCGAACTCGCTTAAAGCTCATTTCGTTAACGAGCTAGGCTCAACTCAACTAGACTCGATATGGCTCTAAAAGACTCTAAAAGAGAATTTTCATATAATTTTCTATGATTCGGCTCGTTAAAGCTCGAGATCGGCTTGTTAATATTGATAAACGAGTTGAACTCGAGCTCAATTTCTGGCTCGTTTATTTAACGAGCCAAGTCGGGCTTGGCTCGATTAAGGGCTCGAGCTCGTTTACAGGCCTAATATTTGTAAACTAATATTTAGATATAAGAAACCTGGATAACGCTGTGCGCAGCAAACTTGAGCCTGCTACTATGGAAGCTCACATCGACTTTTTCCCACGACACACGAGAAAGGCCATTCACTAGTTCCTCTGTCGTAAAATAGGCCAAAAACAAAATTTTATTTCCTCTTCGGAACTTTCGTAGTCGGAAAATATTTTTAAAACACCAAGCCAAAAGGAATGCCATGATGCGAACCGAATAGAAAAGACAGATAAAGAAATGCAATGCGTATTTAAACTAAGATACAAGCCACGCGCATATTGTTCTCGAGTTACAGTGGAGAATATAAATTAACACTAACAGAAATGATT